ATATTCCGTATTTTGATGATTTCAGCAACATTATTCAAAGGATTTGTTTCGAATTTGGTATTTGAAGTTCGTAATGGATACTACAGCCTAAACAGAAAATTGACTGTGCAGGTCCACGTCTTCGTATAGCCCCCATATAAAGGTACCTCCCCGATATTCGGTATTTTGATGATTTTAGCAACACTATTCACCAGAATTATTTCAATTTTTATACCCTACAACACTATGTGTTGGGGGTATTATAAGTTTGATTGGGCCAAAAATTATGTAACACCACGAAATATTGGTTTCCCATATAGGAAAGTATATATGGATCTTCCTATCTCGCCGAGCTGAGTCGATCTAGCTATGAATGTCCGTCCGTCCGTCTGTCCGTCTGTCCATGTTAATTTGTAATCACTCTAGAGGTCGCAATTATGGTCCGATCCTCACGAAATTGAAAATGGAGGTGGGGTTAATGTCAGAATAGAACCCTATTTCTTTTGGTGATGATCGCATAATATTTAGGGGTTGAAATGGACCAAAAACTGAAAAATTTCCTGATTTTGCAGTTGCCCTACAGGTCACAATTATAGACCAATCGACGCGGAATTTCGCATGTAGCTATAGCTGTAGGCAGGGAAGAAGCCTACCAATTCGGGTGGTCATCGGATAATATTTAGCGGGAGAAATAGACCATATCTTTTATGTTGAAAAAATTCAAAATTTTTCATTAAACCGCGAATATTTTAAATCCCGGGGAAATCACAAAGCCATGACAAAGTTACTCCTGATCTTTACATTGATATTAACATCCAACTAATCGGATATATAGCAAAATATGTGCGATATATATGTCTATCAAAGAAGATATGCTTGAAAGATCTCTTATATGTCGAGAACGGCTGAACTGATTTCGACAGTTCTCATTAATTCAGAATATCCTCTTGGCAGAAAACATAAAACGTCTAAAAAAATCGCATAAAAATGTCTCTCTAAAGATGAAAATATTGATTTTCTAAAATTTTGTCATATTTTTTCTATTTTGTCATATTTTTGGCATATTTTCATTTTGAATTAAACATTTGGTAATGTTTCTACAGCTAACAAAACTAAGTAGTTAGGATATCAGGATATCATATACAGATCGCATTTATGGCCCGATCCTTACGAAATTTTGCATGGGTATAAGATGAGGGTCAGAATAGAAGCCTACTCTTTTTGGAGATGATCGCCATCTCATCTCATCATCTCATTTAGGGGTTGAAATGGATCAAAAAACTGCAAAATTGTCAGCAGGTCGTAATTATGGCCCGATCCTCACGCACATTTGAATGGGGGCTAACCGGACATTGCAAAAGCCATGCAGTTTTGGATGGCCATCCAAGAATATTCAATGTGTGAAATAGTTTGCCAAAATACGAAAATGTCCATTACAGTGACTTTTTGGAGAATTCACAAATACAGGAAAGACGCACTTCTGACTATTTCGATAACGCTGATTTCGTTGAAGAATATAGTCAAATGTCTGTATCTCATATAGAGGCGTTTCAGTCAAAAACTAAATGTTAATCTTTTGCCACTTCTAAATATTGGTTCCAGATCTAGGAAGACCATTTACGTGCAACATCTACCAATAAATTGGAAATGAGCAAATTAGCTTAAGTTGCTATTATTCGAAAATTAGAGAACGAAACCTGATGGTTTTCTTTTATTATTTGTCACAATATCTTGTGGAATTCATTCGAGTATCTCGCCTATATAAACTGTATGGTTTATTATAATGTTGTAGGGTATTCAACGGTCGGCCCCGCTCGACTGTAGCCTTTGCTTACTTGTTTTTTATTTGAAGTTTGTAATGAATACTACAGTTTTGTTATAGCCCCCAAACAATTGTTCCTCCCTCTATTCGGCATGAAATACATTATTCACCGAGTTTTTTTAAGTTTCGCATTTGAATATTGTAATGGCTTATAACAAAATTTACCCATGCAGATCCCTGTCATCGAATACACCCTAATATAACAGCTACATTTGGTATTTTTAAGATTTTATCAGAATTTTTAACGGATTTTATTGTTTCTGAGAATTGCCAAAATCGTTCCAAATGGTGGAGGGTATTCAACGTTCGGCCCGGGCGAACTTACAGCTTTTATACTTTTTTTTAAATTTTATTTGTGGTATATATAGTATGGTGGTATATTAAGTTCGTCATTCCGCTTGTAACTCATCGAAATAATAATTTTAAACCCAACCAACTATATATACTCTTCATTAGCTTAAAATTCTAAGGCGATTTAGCCCTGTCCGTCCGTCCGTCGGTCTGGCCGTCCGTTGTAATCACGCTACAGCCAAAACGAATTAATATAGGAATCTAAAATTTTACACAGATCTGTATTTTGTTTGCAGGCAGGTCAAGTTCGTAGATGGGCTATATCGTATAACCCCCATACAAGCCCCCGATATTCGGTATTTTGATGATTTTAGCCACATTTTTCATCGGAATTGTCTGAAAATCCACGCAAAGAATTCCTTGTGGGTACTTTATACCTCGACAGAGAATTATCTATATAGGTCCACGATATCGTATATCCCCCATATAACGGTACCCTCCGATATTCGGTATTTGGATGATTTTAGTCACATTTTTCAATGGAATAGTCTGAAATTCTACACAAGGAGTTCATTGTGAGTACCTTATTCCCTGAAAGAGAATGGTCTATATGGGTCCACGATATCGTATAGCCCCCATATAACTGTACCTCCCTATATTCGGTATTTTCATGATTTTAGCAACATTATTTACTGGAATTATTTCAAATGTCATCCTTGAAGTTCGTAATGGGTACTACAGCCTATGACAAACATTTTTGTTTGTAGGTCCACGTCTTCGTATAGCCCCATAGAACGGTAGCTCCTGATATTCGGTGTTTTACATGATATACAAAATATTGAATAAATATTGACAAGTTCCTACATGTAGTATCAGTTTTTGTACGAACTTGTCAATATTTATTCAATATTTTGTATATCATGTATACAGGGTTGCCCATATTCGACGGACCCATGATTTTTTTTAAACATTTCGGCCGGAATAGAGGCTATTTCTTCACGAATGTTGTCCTTGAGCTCTTCTACGGTCCTTGGCTTGTTAACGTAAACCTTTGACTTCAAATATCCCCACAAGAAGAAGTCAGACGGCGTCAAATCGGGCGAACGCGGTGGCCAGTCCAAATCACCACTTTTCGACATCAAACGGCCCGGAAACAAATTCTTCAGAAAATCAATTGTTATGCGATTTGTGTGCGGTGGAGCGCCGTCTTGTTGAAACCAGAACTTCCTCATACGCTTTCGACGAATTACTGGCATCACAAAATTGGTCATCATGTCGCGATAACGCTCCTGATTGATGGTAACAACATGGCCATTTTCATTTTGGAAGACAAACGGCCCAATTACCGCTTTCGCACTAACGCCGCACCAAACTGTGACTTTTTCGTCATGAAGAGAATCTCCCGGGGATTTTCAGTGGCGTAAAAACGGCAATTTTGCTTATTTACGGTCCCATTCAATGTAAAATGGGCTTCATCGGACATGATAATTTTGTTCCAAAATTGCTCGTCATCTTCGGCCATTTCGATGACTCTTTGGGCCCATTCCAATCGACGATGCTTGTCCGCAGGCAACATTCTTCGCGTCAATTGAATTTTGTACGGGAACAAATGCAAATCAACGCGAATAATCCGTTGTAAAGTGGACCGAGCCATGCCCAACTGCTGAGACCGGCGTTTTTGGGATGTTCTTGGGGACCTCTCAACACTGGCTCATACGGCAGCGATATTCTCGGCCGATCGCCTTGGTCGACTTTTATATGGCCTCTTTTTTTTCACAATCGACTTCTTCTGTTGAATGTAAATTTCAACTATTTCAGAGCGCTCGCGTGGCGTGTATTGGTTCATGGTAAAAATCTGCTTGGACTGACGCTTCAAACGCGGTATGTTATTAAGCGATGTGACATCTCTGTCAAAAGTTATGGCGTTGCCAGATGGGTCCGTCGAATATGGGCAACCCTGTATCCTGGAGGCCCACTTAGCTAAAATAACCAAAATGTTAGGGGATCAACTTCAAAAACACATTTTTATACCCTCAGCCATATGGCTAGAGAGGATATATATCATTTTATGGGGCCAAAACGTGCCTCATCGAAATAACGGTTTTAGACCCTAGGTCTCTTTACACCAAATCCGTTTCAAGACATTTGAAGTCGATGTAGCGATGTCCGCCTGTCTGTGGGTCTGTCTCGCACGTTAACTTTGAAAGGGAGTATCTGATTTCTCCCAAACTTGGTACATCGTTATGTTATTCTCCAACTTAGATCTAGTTCGGAGATGGGTAATATCGGTCCACTCCTTCTGCTATCTTCCCCACAAAAGGTCGAAATTTTCCAAAAAAAAATGTTTTACTTCACAGTAAGAGAAAGAATAATCAAATTTTGCTCCAACTTTGCAAATCCTAATATTTGCATCAGTGTTACGTTAGGTTCCCTCCTCGACTTTGGATAACTTGAGGTTTAATCTTTCAAGAAGAAAATTTAAAAAAGGCATAATTATCCGCAATAATCCTTAAAAAATCATTAATATTTTCCAAGACTCCGATGCCATATAAAACTGTTAGATATCCTGTTGATCTAGAGTTTTCATATAGTTTTGAAGTTCGAGTTAATCTCTCGCAGCGATTTCAATTCGGAAATTATAGAATAAAAACCAACAAATTAAATCAATATTAAAAATTGGCAATGAAATTAAACCGAAAAGCAAATTATAACCAAAACCCCAAAAACCAACAACTCAACAAAAATTCACACAAAACTTTCTTTCGCTAAAATATCAGCATGTTTGATATGGGTATGTGGGTAGGTAGGGTAGGGTACGGTAGCTTTCTTTTGTCATTACAACAAGGACGTTTATGAATGTTTTTTCTTTTTGTTGTGTGTTTTTATATTTTTTTTGGGGGAATCTTACTTGCCGCACACCTTGCAGGGAAATTCGGTTATGTCTTTGTTGTTGGCATTGTTGGGATCTTTGGAATTGGCATTGCCTGGCCCGCCCAGTGTCTGATTGCCACCGTTTGTCGTTGGCAATGCATTGGAACCGGCATTTCCGGCAGCATTCTGATTACCATGATGATGTTGGTGATGCTGGTGATTTGCTGAGGAGGATGAGGCTGTGGCTGTTGTGGCATTGGGATTAGTGTTGTTGCTTGGATTGTTGTTGTTGTTACTGTTATTGGAATTGCTAGCTTGGTTATGGCTGCTACTGTTGCTGTTCTGATTGTTGCTGTGGGCATTACGACCATAGGTGTGAATGCGTGTGTGACCATGCAACGCAGCTTTTGAGGAAAAGCTCTGCAAAAATTTCGCACAATGGGTTAGGTTGCAAAGCTTGTGTTGGCTGGGTTAGGGGAGCAGTGGAATTGTTAATACTTACCGCTGAACAATCGGGTATTTCACATACATAGGGCTTGGGGTCGACTGTATGGGGCTGGATCTGGGGTGGTGTCTCCGTTTTGAGGTGGGTCACTTTATAGTCCACACATAGCTTCTTCCAGAAATAATACATTTGTACACATTCTCCGGTGGATTTTGTGGTGAGCTAAGGGTGCAGAAATTGTATGGTTAATAAAGTTTAAGGGACGTATATTATTTCGAACCTACCTCCTTGGAAATTTTACTAAACTCCTTGCCGTATTTCTCCAGGCCCTTGAGAAAACATTCCAGTTCTTGGGAGGACCATTTCATTTGGAAGGAGTTGGATTGCGTCTGCAAGAGATTCAAAACTGCCGTGGCCGTATTGCCTTGGGCCTGTAGCAATGTGTGTAGAGCCACCTCTTCTGTGTGGCTACCCAGAGGCACGGCCGAAGATTTACTCAAGTCGATGAAACGCATTAGAATTTTCTCATCTGGCTGGCATTCTGGACGCCACATCAACTCCGCCGTTACGGTTTCTTCGATGTCAGCCGTCTGGGTGGGCTGATTAAATGCAGGTATCGCAGCCTGATAGGCGGAGCCCAAGTTCACCTTGGACTCATCCGAGAAATCCACCAAACCCACGGGGTCATCGTCAAAATCATCGAAATTGTCAAAGGAGAGCAGAGAGCAACCCAGCTCCTTGAGAACGTTGCAATAGAGCCCATGACCCTTGCGTTCTGGATTAAGGATGGGTGCCGGTGTATAGTGGGTCCTGGAGGGTTTGCGCAACTTCGATTTGTAGGGCGAGAGGGCCTGATATTTGGAATATGATTGGGAGTTGGAGGAGTCGTGGGACGAAGAATGCAAACCTCCGGCCTTCAGGCGTCTTTTGAGTATGGAATTTGTTTGATTGGAGAGGGGTTGCAACGACGTAGATGTGGAGTGATGCAGGGAGGAATATGTGTGGCCACTCCGTGAGGGAGCCAATATTCGATTGCTGGACTGATGTTGTGCCGGGGCGTTCAGGTGATTGCTGCCACCACTACTGCCGCAGCTACTGGAAATGGCCTCGGGTTGCGCTTCTAATTTGATTTCAATTTTATCGGTGGTACCACTGGTGGCATAGATTATTGGTTGCATTAAGGCCTCGTTGAGAGAGTTGATGTGTTGTTGTTGTTGCTGCTGCTGCTGGGAAGAAGCCATAAAATGTGGTTGTTGCTGCTGTTGGGATATCTGTGCATTTCCTGGGTTTTGGGAGCTTTGTACTTGTGGTGTTGTTGTTATTGTTTGTACATTATAATGTATTGTTGTTGCTGCTGTTGTTGTGCTGCTGGTGGTGGTGGACACATTCGGGGAGCTTTGTAGGTTATTTGGGGGTAAACTCAAAATCAGTTGATTCACATCGTTGGTGGTGGACACCTGGCCACCATCCAGGCTCAATTTGAGAGACGTCTGTTGTTGTTGTTGTTGGCTGGAAACTCCTTGATGGCTGTAGCCCAGGTTTTGGCTCAAGTGTTGCTGAAGTTGCTGTTGTTGTTGTTGAGGAATGTTTGGCATTTGCTGTGTCTGTTGTTGTTGCTGTTGCATGGAATTGACAATTTTCAGTTGACCAAAATCGCGGGGTGACGACGAAAGCAGTGGGTCCTCGGAGTTGGGCATCATTTGCGATTGCAGACTCAGGCCCGGCAGATAATACAAATCGATGATATTTTCCTGTTGACTTTCACAGTTCAAATTAATTTGATCATCCGTGAGGACCTCCCGTAACACTTCCTTCACCTCCTCGGCGGTGCCAATGCCACTGGTAAAAAAGGACTCGGACAGGGGCGAGGTGGCATTTCTGGAATCGCTTAGGAATTCTTGATCTTCGTCGAGAAAGGCAAATTCCCGCAAATCACATTCGGTGTCGGCCCCAGAGCCACTCAGCAAATCTTCCACCTTGATGTTGGAATCGAAGGAATGGTCCTCGAGGACATTTTTCAATTTCAAGCCACCATCATTATCCTGATCACCGGGACCATTGTTACCACCGCCGCCACCACCCCCACCGCTCAGCAGGGACTCATTGAAGAAAATGTTTTGATTATCGCCAAAATGATGATTGTCCTCAATGTAGGGCGAAGTTTGGGTAACATTTTCATGGCTCGAGGGGGGTGTGGGATAGGCCAGGGGCGAGTGCAGTGGAGAATTTAAATTTCCAGCAAATTGATGGCCCTTCAAATCATTTGGCAAACTCAAGGTGTGGGAACGCAGGTTGTTTTGACTAAGGATAGACGATGACGACGTGGACATGGATGACGAAGAATTCTGCATGATCAGCTGCTCTTTGGAATGGAAATGTTGGAAATTTGGTAAAGTTTGTTGTTGTTGCTGTTGTTGGCAGGTATTTTGATAGTGCTGCTGCTGCTGCTGCTGAGAGTCCATAATATTACCACCACTCGTATTACTACTCTCCATAACCTCAAAGTGTTCGGAATGTTCAGAGGTTGTGGGTGGGGTATTAAGGCTATTACTCTCCAGCTTTAGACCATGATCAGCGGCATTGTTGGCCTCTTCGCTCAGCAATTGCATGGTGTCCACGGTTTGCAGCAACATTTCAGCCTCACTGACATTATAGACCTCAGCATCGCCAAACAAGCCCCCAGCAGCCTCACTTGTATAGGTGACCGTATACACCTCACCACTGTTGCTGTCCGATCCCTGGGCAATGGTCAGCGACAAGGGAGTGCCATCGGCCAGAGTTAGATTTGTCGTGGTGGTGTTGCTATTTTGATTCTGATGTTGTTGCTGCTGCTGCTGAAGGTGTTGCTGCTGCTGTGACATTTGTTGTTCATCGGCGGGTTTCTTCATTTTCCCTTTGGTGGTGACCACCTGCACCTCTGAGGGTATTATGACACTGCAATTGTTTTTATTCGTAATTATCTGACGTGATATTCCGCCCAGCGGCATATTGGGATTGGATTGTTTCTGGGTCACCGCTATGCGGGTGCCACGTTTCAACAATTCTATGAGGGTTGAGTCTTTGGGATCGGTTGATGTGGAACGAGAGGTCGTTGTATTGATCGTTGTTGCTGCTCCCGCTGCTGCTGCTGAGCTGGATGTTATGGCCTGGAGTTTCGTTGAATTTGTGGACGTAGAGGCAGTGGTTGTACCCACACCTATGTTGTTCATTGTCTTTTGTTGTTGTTGTTGTGGTTTGTTATTGTTGTTGCTGTAAATCTCTATACTTTGTGGTAGATTCATGTCAGGCATATTGAGCATGGTTTTGGGGGAATTTTTAATATTTGTTGTTGTGGTGGTTGTTGAAGTTGCTGTCATTTGTTGTTGTTGTTGCTGTTGCTGCTGTTGTTGGTGATTCTGCTGCCCGTTTATTGTATTCTGTTTGGGATTCAGAAAACTGTCCAAATCACTAATTGATCGTCGCATTGTTGTTGGATTGCCTTGATTGTTGTTTGAGGGCGGAGCAGGAACGGCAAAGGCACCCTGGAAAAAACGGGAGGAAAATGGAAAATAGAGATAAATATATAAAGATAAAGAAAAAAATGTAGAAACAAATTTGGAAAATATCGGTCGATCTTGCCCGCAGCTGAATACCCCCAGAATATACCCAAATACATAAATACGGACTTGGGCCATGTAAGATCTGCGACTGGCGAAACGGCTGAAGCTAGAATCTTAACAATTTTCATGTGTGGGCCACAGTTGATGTGTGGGGGTGATTTATGGAGGGATTTTGGAACTTCGAGCTAAAAATGTACTAAAAGTTACTGAAAATTAAATCCACAAAATCGGACAAAAGCATAGAGCTAGAATTTTGGAATTTGCAATGAGGGTCGCTGGGTGTGAGATAGAGGTATGAATGCTCTTTGGAAATTCGAAGTATGAGGGTACAAAAAGTACTTAAATGCACCAAATTCGGTAATATAACTTAGAAGCTAGATTTCTCAAATATGGGTTGTGGGTCGCTGATCGGATGAAGGATTGATTCTGCAAGTATACTAAAAGTACAAAAACGCTCTAAATTTGGCACCACTAAATAGAAGCTAGAATTCTAAAATTTTGATCGAAAATCGCTGATGGGGTGTAAGATAGAAGTACCAAAGTTTTTTTTTTTTTTTTGGAAATTTAGAACATACAGAGAGATGTAATCAAATTCAGACTGCTGTTATTTCTAAGCCACTCGTCCGACAGCTGTTAAAATTATTCCACTGACAGCTCATTATATTGTTTACAAGCGTACAAAAGCATTTTGGTGAGAATTTTCCAGAACAAAAGTTATTCGTGATGGAATTCAAGCGTGATAGTGAGATTTCTTTATATTTGGCTGGAAAACCACAAGTGGCTATCGTTAGAGCACTCCAGCATTTAAATGTGAATAAATCTTTTGTGTCTCGTACCATCGCTCGTTACCGTGATACTGGTAGCGTAGCCCGACGGCAGGGAAGTGGACGGAAGAAAACAGCAACATCAGCAGAAATGGTTCGAAAAGTAAAGAAGCGACTTGATCGAAACCCGCGTCGCATTGGCTGAAAAATGGCTCGTGAGCAGAACATATCATAATATTCCATTCGGCAAATATTGAAGAAAGGAGCTGGAGGTAAGGCCATTGAAATTCCCAAAAGTGCAAGAACTTACACCGCAACAGAAGGAAAATAGACTCAAAAGAGCTAAAGAGTTGCTTCGCTTGGCCGAAGGTAGTGAACTGCCGAATTTGCTTTTCTCCAATGAGAAAACATTTGTTGTCCAGAAGTTTGTAAAGAGGTCAGCTGAAAATGTGCACCTTCAGTTGGCCACCAGAACTCAACCGCAGGCCATGGTCATGGTGTGGGTCGCCATAACAGCCGATGGTCGCTTTCCGCTCATATTAATCGATCGTGGCATCAGAATAAATGCCGAATATTATCGCAAAAATATTCTAGAGGGTGAATTAAAGCCTTGGGCACGCAAACATTTTGGCTGCAGACCTGGGACATTCCAACAGGACTCAGCACCATCACACTCAGCACGCGCCACCCAAGAATGGTTACAAAATGAGGTTGCTCGCTTCATTTTCAGCGCACGATGGCCACCAAAATCTCCGGATACCAACCCGTTGGACTATTGTATCTGGAGTAGTTTGGAAAGCAAGGTTGGCACAAAAAAATACCAAAGTGTCAATCACCTCAAGCAAGCGCTTCGCCGGGAATGGGCCAAAATATCGCAGAGCAACATTCGGGCAGCACGTGACGGTTTCATTGGCCGTTTGAAGGCCATAATTCGTGCCAAAGGTGACCAATTCGAACAAATCTAAACTTATTCTAAAATTTGATGCTATTTCCGACATTTTTTGCTTTCATTCAATAAAATTAAAAAATTAAAAATTATGACGTTTGACTTTGTTGTAGTTTTTTATCTCACCCTGTATAATTTTCGAAAAGGACTAAATTTGTTGAAATTTGAAAATAGCTATAATTAGACCCTAGGTCAAATCCGTTTCAGAACATGTGGAGCCTAAGGATTGTCGTCCGTCCTTCTGTCTCTCTCTCTCTCTCTCTGGCTGATGCACACTATACTCTCGAAGGGAGTATTTGATTTGGATCAAGCTTAGTACGCCGTAATATTATTATCTAAATTAGAGCGAGGTTCGGAGATGAGAAAAATCGGTTCGGTAGCACATTCCAATATTTTCCGGTATCTAACTCACAACGGGCAAAATTTGGAATAATTATAACACTCATGAAATTTATCCGATCTCTTAAAATTTTACACATGGCATTTTTGAGTGGTACAGTATTTATACCCTCCACCATACTATGGAGGGTATATTAAATTTGTCATTCCGTTTGTAACTCCTATATATATTCTTGATCAGCGTAAAATTCTATGTCGATTTAGCCATGTCCGTCTGCCTGTCTGTTTGTTGTAATCACGCTATCTTTCGAACGAATTGAGATACAAGGCTAAAATTTTGCACACCTGTTTATTTTTCCAGTAGACAGGTTAAGTTCGTAAATGGGCCATGTAGGTCCAAGTTATCATATAGCCCCCATATGACGATATCTCCCGATATTCGGTATTTTGATGATTTTAGCGACATTATTCATCTGAATTATTTCAAATTTGGTATTTCAAGTTCGAAATGGGTACAACAGCCTATGACAGAAAATTATCTGGGCAGGTCCAAGTCTTCGTATAGCCTCCATATAACGGTACCTCCCTATATTCGGTATTTTGATGATTTTTGCGGCATTATTCACCGGAATTCTTTCAAATTTGGTATTTGAGATTCGTGATGGATACTACAGCCTATGACAGAAAATTGTCTGTGCAGGTCAACGTCTTCGTATAGCCTCCATATAACGGTACCTCCCAAAATTCGGTATTTTGATGAGTTTAGCTCCATTATTAACCGGAATTGTTTCAAATTACGTATTTAGAGTTCGTAATGGGAACTACAGTCTGTGACAGAAAAATGTCTATGCAGGTCCAGGTCTCCGTATAGACCCCAATATAACGGCAATATTCGGTATTTTTAAAATTTAACAGAATTTTTTAAGGATTTTATTTTTTTTTTAAATTTCCAAATTCGTTCCAAATGGTGAAGGGTATTCAAAGTTCGGCCCGGCCAAAATTACTTTATGTACGCATTTAATTCGAATTCTGTCGAAAGGTAAACAGCGACTCTCAAATTTCAGATGACAGAGATGTTTGTTCGAATTATCAAAAATGCAGTCAAATTTCTTTATAGCTTTCGAACACCTTTTTAACCATTTACGATAACTATTTCGAATATTCCTGGGAACGCAAAAGGGAACCCACTTAGCAAATTTCACATTCTCAGCTCTATCCGCTCAATGAATTTATACGTTGTATAACATTTTGTGTCAAATCATTTTGTAAATTCATAATTTGACATGCTACGATCCTGTTTATAGGGTCCGCTTTCGGTTTTCCATCCAAGTTATCTTTGTATTGTTATAGGTTTCCTGGGAATATTAATCCAAAATTTTCAAAAAATTTGGAAGAGGGGTAAATTTTCCCCTTACACGCCCATACGAGTTCTCTCTTGTTAGCTCCACTTTTACAATCTTCAGAGATTTTCCATTGATTTAAAAAAAATGCAGTTTTTTTTTCTTCTACTATTCCCAGTTCCATTCAAAAGTTCTCACATTTCAATGTTTGTATTTAAGTAAATAATCAAATGTTGAAGGTATTTTTCTGTCATGAAATGTACTAAAATTTCCTTATTTCCTAATTTATTCCCTAATTTAACCCACCCCACCGCCAACCTACCTTATTCAAATCTTTACTCCTTTTGCTGATGATTTTCTCCTCGATCAAAGCCCGAACACCAATGCTCGCCGTCTGCAGGGGTGGGCCATTGTTTTCTTTCTTTTCGCTTTTCTTCGTTTCGGGATCCTTTTTAAAGTAGCCACCGTGCAGACGCATGTGGCCATTCAAGGCGGGTACATTTTTAAATTTGCGATGGCAAAGATTGCATTCGACGGGCTTTTGATCGATTTTCACCAAATTAAAGAGTTGAGGATTTGACATGGCATTGGAGAGGTCAATATCGATTTCTTCCTCTTTGACTTTGGTGGTGACCACAGAGGCCGCTTCACCTGATGCACTCGAATCTGTGGTGATTTCATCTACGGTTATGGCCACATTTTGGGAGGAGTTGAGCTGCGAATAAAGACATGAATTTATTAATTCTTCAATACCGTAAACATTTTTAACCTTACCAATTGCATATTCCATGTCCTGGGTCTTGGCGCCTGCTGCTGCTGTTGATTTGCCACTACGGCCGGCTGGGGATTTGTATCAATTTTATATGACTGAGAACTCGTGGGTGATGAGACGGTAACCTGGGCCGTTGTTTGCTTGGTTTGTCGCATAATTTTACTTATCAAATCCAATTGTTCACGTGTCAGACCATCTCCTTCCAAATTGCCACTATTATCGGTCAGGGTTATTGTGGCCCCCGGGCCAGAGGTTATACTACTTGTCGACGACATTGAGGATGTTGTAGAGGTGGGTGACAGCAGGGTAACACCTGTTGTCTTCAAGGGTACATTTAAAGCTTTCAATTCTTCTTCGGTTAAAGCTATACCAGTGGCGGCATCTACCACTGTGCCACCGTTCGACAGATATGTTCCTAGACAGGTGGCACCGTCCGGTGAACTGGCATCACCTGAAAAATGAAATGTTAGTTGTATTTGTGTTCTATTTTTATACCCTCCACCATACATAGTATGGATGGTATATTAAGTTCGTCACTCCCTTTGTAACTTATCGAAATAATAATTGAGCGTAAAATTCTAAGACGATTCTTTATTTGTTTTGACTCTAGCGTTATACAACAGTCGGACGGACGGAGAGGGCTAGTCCGTCCGACTCTTGTAATAACGCTAAAGTCAAAACGAATAAAGATAGGAAGCTAAAGTATTGCACAGCTCAGCCTTTGTATACAGGAAGGTCAAGTTCGAAGATAGGCTATATCGGTCCACGATATCGCATGACCCCCATATAACGGTGCCTCCCGATATTCGGCATTTTGATACTTGTACCTAATTTTTTCAATGAAATTGTCTGAAAAATCACAAAAGGAGTTCCTTCTGAGTAATTTACCCCCTGGAAGAGTAGTGTCTACATAGGTCTACGATATCGTATATCCCCCATATAACGGTACCCCCCGATATTCGGACGATTTTAGTGACTCAATACACCTGAATCGTTTCAAATTTCGTATTCGAAGTTTGTAATGGGTACTACAGCCCATGCCTAAAAATTTCGTTTGCAGGTCCACGTCTTTGTATGGCACCCATATAACAGAACCTCCCGATATTCGGTATTTTTAAGATTTTAGCGAGTTAATTCACTTGAATTGTTTCAAATTTCGAATTCGAAGTTTGTAATGGGTACAATAGTCTATGACTAAAAATTTCGTTTGCAGGCCCACGTCTCCGTATAGTCTCCATATAGGATACCTCCTAATATTCGGTGTTTTGATGACTTTAGCGACATTATTCGTATTTAGAGTTTGTAATGGGAACTACAGTCTATGATAAAAATTGTCTACACAGGTCCAGGTCTTCGTATAGGCCGCATACAGGGTGAGATGAAAAAACTGCAACCAAATTCAGACTGCTGTCATTTCTAAGCCACTCGTCCGACAGCTGTTAAAATTATTCGTGATGGAATTCAAGCGTGATTGTGTAATTCCGTTATATTTGGCTGGAAAACCACAAGTGGCTATCGTAAGAGCTCTCCAGCATTTAAATGTGAATAAATCTTTTGTGTCTCGTACCATCGCTCGTTACCGTGACACCTGTAGCGTCAAGGATGTGGACGGAAGAAAACAGCAACATCAGCAGAAATGTTTCGAAAAGTGAAGAAGCGACTTGATCGAAACCCGCGTCGCAGTGGCCGAAAAATGGCTCGTGAGCTGAACATATCGCAATATTCCATTCGGCAAATATTGAAAAATGAGCTCGGGGTAAAGCCATTGAAATTCCAAAAAGTGCAAGAACTTATACCGCAAAGGAGAGAAAATGGGCTCAAAAGATCTAAAGAGTTGCTTCGCTTGGCCGAAAGTGGTGAACTGCCGAATTTGGTTTTCTCCGATGAGTAAACATTCCTTGTGCACCTTCGGTTGGCCACCAGAACTCAAGCGCCGGCCATAGTGATGATGTGGGCCGCAACAACAGTCGATGGTCGCTCTCTGCTCCTATTAATCGATCGTGGCATCAGAATAAATGCCGAATATTATCGCGAAATTCGCGATATTCTGGAAGGTGTATTAAATCCTTGGGCACACAAACATTTTAGCCGCAGACCTTGGACATTCCAACAGGACTCAGCACCATCGCACTCAGCACGCGCCATCCAAGAATGGTTACAAAATTAGGTTCCACGCTTCATTTCCAGCGCATAATGGCCACCAAAATCTTGTGTCTGGAGTAGTTTCGAAAGCAAGGTTGGTACTAAAAAATGCAAAAGTGTCGATCACCTCAAGCAAGCGCTTCGCCGGGAATGGGCCAAAATACCCCCATATATCGGCACCTTGCGAGATTTTAACAGAATGTTTAATGGATTTTATTTTTATTTTTTGAAAATGTCCTAAATTGTTCCAAATGGTGGTTGGTATTCAAAGTTCGTCCCGGCCGAATTTACTGCTTTTTTACTTGTTTTTTCTCACCCCGTTTATCAGTACCTCTCTTTATTCGGTATTTTAACAATTTTAGGTACAATCTTCACCGAAATTGTTTGAAATTTCGTATTTGAAGTTCCTAATAGGTACTGCAGCCTGCGACTGAAAATTGTCTATGCTGGTTCAGGTCTCCGTCCTCCTCCCTTTTTTACATTATTTTTTTTTCAAGTTTAATGTATTTGAATATCGTAGTATATAATGGCTATATTCGGTATTTTTAAGATTTTAACAGGATTTTAAACGGTTTTTATTTATTTATTATTATTAGTATTATTATTATTATTATTATTATTATTATTATTTTATTATTATTATTATTATTATTATTATTATTATTATTATTATTATTATTATTATTATTATTATTATTATTATTATTATTATTATTATTATTATTATTATTATTATTATTATTATTATTATTATTATTATTATTATTATTATTATTATTATTATTATTATTATTATTATTATTATTATTATTATTATTATTATTATTATTATTATTATTATTATTATTATTATTATTATTATTATTATTATTATTATTATTATTATTATTATTATTATTATTATTATTATTTATTTATTTTATTTTATTTATTTATTTATTTATTTTTTTTTTTTTTTGAAGTAGCCGAATATGGGGAAGGGTATTTAAAGTTCGGCCCTGCCGAATTTATGGTTTTTTTAATTGTTTTTGTGCTATTTTTCCGACTTACCGTTTGCCGTGGCAGGGGATAAACTTAGATTTGAATTGGAATTATTATTTTGGGAACCAGACAGAGTTTGATTTTGATGTGGCGTTACAATGCCGGCGTGATGATTTTCCGTATGTCGTCGCAGGGAACGTGCATCACAATACGATTTGCCACAACCTTCAGCTTTGCATTCGTATGGTTTTTTATTCCGATGGGTCATCATATGTCCATTTCTGAAAGAAAAAAAAATAAATTGAAATATATATTAAAAAAAGTTACAAAATATCTACACAATCAACTGAGTTATAGATTGGGCAAAAATTGGTGTCACACACACACACCAGATATTCCTTATCTTAACCTATATAACCCTATACATTTGCTAGTTATTAGTGTGAAAATGAGATATATCATCTTCATTCTTTATGAATTTTCTAACATTAACAAATAAATACCTGAGATTTTTTTGAAAATTATCATAATACTACATTATTAGTATTAATTAATATATATTTAATTTGTCCTACTAATTTCTAATTAATATTAAATATTATTTCTTCATTATTCCAAAAAAAAAAAATTAACAACATTCCATGAAATTTAAGAATTTGTCCATCATCAAATCTTAATATGTGACACATATTTTGACGGCTTCTAATATTTCACCTGCAGATGGCGATGAGGATGTTCTTTTTTTTTTTTTTTTTTTTTTTTTTTAACTTAAGGAGAATCTTTTCATGGCTCGACATGACACAACTCTTTACATGGACTTTTTATCGTCTACTTCGTTCATTCGTTCGTCTCTGACATATGCTTATCACACTGAATGTCTGTTGTTTCACCCACTTAAATGATTTCCGGCACGGTGATGAATTTCTTTGACAGCTACTAAAAAAAATGTGTTAACACGTGGAACAGAATGTGACGCCAACAAATCAAATTCTTTGGTGCCATCCCACCACAAAAACAAAAAAAAATATTTTTTTTTTCTAAACCAACAACATTAATAATAAACAAATTTTTTAAGATGCCACAAAATTGTCATAATCAACTAAATAAACATATAATGGATATTAGGGTGGTTGGGTGCAAATAATGTTATTTATTTCATCATTTTGAATTTCGGATTTTATTATATAATTTCTTTTATTTTTACATTTATTTAGGCACACAGTGGTCACGGTATGTGCGTGGATTTTTTTACCCGATCGAGAATAACCCTATTGAATTAATGTAATTATTTGATCAAAATTTAGATATAGCTCCCATATAAATCTTCGCCCAATTTGTCCTTTATTGTGCAATAAGTGTGTAATATAGACAGATAGAAATCGGTTCAGATCTGAACGTGTCGACCCAAAACGTGTCGCGTCGAAAGAGCGGTTTAGACCTGTTTCTCTGTGTACCAAATCCGTTCAAGATCGGGTTTGCTCCAAACTTGGTACATCGAAATATTACTATCAAACTTAAATCGAGGTCGGAGATGAACATTAGTGGTTCACTTCTTCTTGTATCTCCCCCGGATATCTGATCGGGCCGAATATCTGAAACTTTTTTAGCTGCCTCATGTGAAACATTAATCCCTACCAGAGACTCGTGGATCAACGGATTCCTACCACTAATGTCGACTGGAAACTTTTGTTACACAGACGGCTCAGTGCTAGGGTAGAGAGCGGGACTGGGACCTTTAGGATACAAACAGCGAAATCTCTTTTCGCTTGCCCGATCACAATACGATCCTGCAAGAGGAGGTCCGGGCGATTGCAGAGTATCTCAACTGGCTTAATGCCAACAAGAAATCGGCTACAGTAACTAGTCCTAACGGACAGCAAGACAGCTATAAGGGCTATAACATCCAAAACAGTAACTTCAAAAACTGTTTTGGGATGTATAAATTTAATCAACAACTACTCTCAACACGGCGTAGTACGCATTATGTGGATACCAGGTCATACGGGAGTTAGGGGTAACGAGATAGCAAACTCTCTCTCCAAACCAGGCAGGGAATTAGCAACAATAGACGTAGACAATCCAGTGCCACTAAAAAACGCTCACATATCCTTATGGAACAATGAGAGTGTAGGGAAAACCACAAAAATCTTATGGGGCGATCCCGATGTGATAATGAACCTTTTATTACTAGGTAAAAAAGAGATCAGTGAGGTAACAGGCAACTTTACGGGCACCTGGGCCTAAAAAATTCATCTGTACAAGATAGGATGTGCAGAAAACAACATATGCAGGGCATGTGGGGAAGATGACGAAACATTGGAACAACGACTCCATACCAGACCATAATTTCACAAAGGCAACTGATTTTCAAATATAACAGACTGTAAACTGCCCGCCATCATCAAAAAAACCCTTAGTCTATACCGCACAACAGGCCTATACTGGCTTAAGTGTATGCCCAACAGGACATGCGGCGAATTGCTTCGCCCCTCTTTTCAACCTAACCTAACCTAACCTAACTCCCCCACAAAGGATCTAGATGTAAATAGAAAATAATTTACCTCATAGAACAGTAAAGAATCATCCAAATGAGTACTAAAATTAAATGAAAATTACTAAATCTTACTAAATTTAGTATGAGGTGAAGGGTCAGAAATTCTTAAAATTTGATATTAATGGTTTACTATGGAGATCCATTGTGCAATGGTTTTACTAATATTATCTTCGATAAACTTCAAAATAAAAGGTTAATGCTTTCGGAAAAGGGAACAACTTGAATAATATATAAAACCTTGAAAGTCTTAAAATTTAGTAAGATGTATTAAAAATTAAGTAAATTATTCATTTTGAGTACTAAAAATTAAAAAAGGCAACTTAGTTCGGGCGGGCCGAACTTTTAAAATCTTGAAAAAACTTGAAAAATTTCAAGAACTACTAAGATATGAAAGAAAATACGAAAACATGGACCTGCATAATTTTTTGTCATAGACTGTGGTACCGATTCCGAATTTCAAATACGAAATATAAAAAATTCCGTTGAATAATGTGGCTAATATCAACAAAAAACCGAATAAATGGATGTGCCGTTATATATAATATCGTAGACCTATATAAGAAATTTTGAGAAAATGACATTGAAAAGTTTGGCTAAAATCATGAATATATCGAATATATAGAACTATATAAATAATTCTCTTCCAGGGGGCAAACTACTCAAAAGAAGCTCCTTGTGTGGATTTTCAGAGAATTCCATTGAACAATTTGGCTAAAATCATAAAAATACCAAAACTCGGGAGGTATCGTTATATAGGTGATATACGATATCGTTGACGCATATAGACAATTCTCTTCCAAGGGGTAAAGTAGTCGCAAAAAACTCCTTATGTAGGATTTCAGACAATTCCATTAAAAAATGTGGCTAAAATAATGAAAATATCGAGTATCGGAAGGTGCCGTTGTATGGGGATATACGATATAGTGGACCTATATAGACAATTCTCTTCCAAGGGGAAAACTACTCTTGATGAACTCCTTGTATCGATTTTTAGAGATTTCCATTGAAAAATTTGGCTGTAATCTTCAAAATACCGAAAATCGGGAGGTATCGTTATATGGATATACGATATCGTGGACGTATTTCTACAATTCTCTACCAGGGAGTTAAGTGCTCATAAAGAACTCCTTGTGTAGAATTTCAGACAACTCCACTGAAAAGTGTGGCTAAAATCATCAAAATATCGAATATCAGGGGGTGCCGTTATATGGGGGCTATACGATATCGTGGACATCTTCGAACTTGGCCTGCCTGCAGACAAAAGATGGATCTGTGCAAAATTTTAGCTTCCTATTTCAATTTTATTTTGACTCTAGTGTGATTACAACAGATGGACATGGCTAAACTGGAGGGTATATTAAGTTTGTCATTCAATTTGTCATACATTTAGACCCAATAAAGTACAGGGTTGCCCATATTCGACGGACCCATCTGGCAACGCCATAACTTTTGACAGAGATGTCACATCGCTTAATGACATAACACGCGAGCGCTCTGAAATATATGAAATTTACATTCAACAGAAGAAGTCAATTGTGAAAACTCAACGTGCTTTTAAAACATTAAAAAATGTGAGAAGTGCACCTTCTAAGAACACCATTAAACGTTTATACGAAAAATTTTCGACTGGTAAGGCTCTTTCTAATCCGAAGAGGCCATATAAAAGTCGACCAAGGCGATCGGCCGAGAAGAGTCCCCAAGAACATCCCAAAAACGCCGTTCTCAGCAGTTGGGCATGGCTCGGTCCACTTTACAACGGATTATTCGCATTGATTTGCATTTGTTCCCGTACAAAATTCAATTGACGCAAAGAATGTTGCCTGCGGATAAGCCTCGTCGATTGGAATGGGCCCAAAGAGTCATGGGTCCGTCGAATGTGGGCAACCCTGTATATATATTCTTGATCAGCATAAAATTCTATGTCGATATAGCAATGTCCGTCCGTCTGTGGGAATCACCCTAGCTTCCGAACGAAATGAAGTAGGTTGATAAAATTTTACTCAAATATATATTATGTCTGCAGGACTTTTGGTATAGAAAATGAGTCATGTAGGTCCACGTTCGGTATAGCCTATATTCGGTATTTTGATGATTTTTAGCTAACTTATTCACCGATTTTTTTTATTCAAAATTCGCATTTGAGTATTGTAATGGTTTATGACGAAAGTCGTATAGACCCTAAAATAACGGCTACATTCGGTATTTTTAAGATTTTAAAAAACTTTTTAACGGATTTTATTTTTTTGAAAATTGCCAAAATCGTTTCAATCGTGGAGGGTATTCAATGATCGGCCCGCCGAACTTACAGCTTTTTACTTTTTATACCCTCCACCATACTAAGGAGGGTATATTAATTTTGTCATTCCGTTTGTAACTCCTCGAAATACTCATGTAAGACCCAACAAAGTATATATATTCTTGATCAGCGTAAAATTCTAAGACGATTTAGCTATGTCCGTCGGTCCGTCCGTCTGTCTGTCTGTCTGTCTGCCTGTTGTAAACACGCTATCTTTCGAAGAAATTGAGATAGAAGACAAAAATTTTGCACACATGTATATTTTGCCAGTAGTTAAGTTCGTAAATGGGCCATGTAGATCCAAGTTATCATATAGCCCCCATATAACGGTACCTCCCGATATTCGGTATTTTGATGATTTTAGCGACATTATTCACCGGAATAGTTTCAAATTTATTATTTTGAGGTTCGAAATAGATACTACAGCCTGTGACAGAAAATTGTCTGTGCAGGTCCACGTCTTCGTATGGCTCCCATATAACTGTACCTCCCGATATTTGGTATTTTGATGATTTTAGCGACATTATTAATCGGAATTGTTTCAAAATTGGTATTTGAAGTTCGTTATGGGAACTACATTCTGTGACAGAAAATTGTCTGTGCGGGTCCAGGTCTTCGTATAAGCCCCATATATCAGTACAATACCCACCGAAATTGTTTGAGATGTGGTATTTGAAGTTCGTAATGGATGCTACAGCCTGTGACAGAAAATTGTCAATGCTGGTCCAGGTCTTCGCACAGCTCCAATTTAACGGCACCTCCTTATATACGATATTTTGATGATTTTAGCTACATTATTCACTGTTTATTTCAAGTTTCGAATTTGAATATGGTAATGGCTTAAGACAAACAATGCCTATGTAGGCCCACGTCGTATACACCTCAATATAACGGCTATATTCGGTATTTTTAAATTTTAACAGAATTTTTTAAAGATTTTATTTTTTAAAAATTTCCAAATTCTTTGCAAATGGTGGAGGTTATTAAATGTTCGGCCCGGCCGAACTTACTGCTTTTTAAGTTGTTTCCTTTTATTATTTAATTTAATTTTTTTTTTCATTCAAATACTTACAAGTGATCTTGTCGCTTAAATGCCTTCGAGCACATAACACAAACGTATTTCCGTTCGTCGCTGTGCGTCAGTTTATGTTTGGCCAGGGCAGATGCATTTCCAAAAATTTTATTACAAATCTGTAACGAGACGGAAGAAATAAAATAGAAAAAATGCTTCATCATAAATGTAATGTTGACTTAAATATTAAAATAAACCACGAAACAGAAAAATCATAAAAAACCCATTTACAAATAGTCCACACAAATTGTGTGGATACCCACCAAACAAAAAAATATGAAACATGTTTTAATTAGATGACTAGTTACGTTACTCCCCCCGTCCTCTCCCTTCACCCAGCAACTGGATATATTTTGTTCTATTTTCACATTTAGCCATCCATTCATTGAAAAACTATGCGTCATCCCATCACAATGTCCGCAATCCCGTAGCCACTCTTTCCCTCCCTTCCTCCCTCAAAGGGGCATTGAGTCCATCCATGTGAATGATTGTCTAGTTTGTTGTTTTTGTTCTTGTTGTCGAAAGGGTATTATGACGACGAATGGTTACTGTTTTTGTTGTTGCAGCTGTTAATTCTAATTGCGCTGTGGTCTGTAGTTGCTTCATGTATGTCTCGAACAAATTTTTTGTCATTGTTTTTGTTGGTTGTAGTATGCTAAAAGACATACACATATAGTTTACACAGAGAGAAATACATGAGATCAAGGATTTAAAAAAAATGTTTTTAAGAATTAAACCATGTTTTTCATCGGAAATAAAATACGTTTCCTAAGGTCGTGTGTAAAAACATTTCATGGATTTGAAAAATTGAATTTCTAAGATCGACTTATAAAGCCAAACGGTGTGATTGCTAAAAAATATATTTTATGTAAGCGGATTTAATAAACAAATTGTTTTCAAGATTTAAAACGAAAGAACATGGGAAAAAATCTACAATGACGGTGTTTAAAAAAATCTAAATTTAAAAATCGTATTTTCATTAAAACAGATAAATTTTGCCGACAGATGTATACCCTCAGCAAATTCTGGTTTATTTAAACGTATTTTGACTTCTGTTATCATTATTCAAATTGATGGAATTGGTTCCGAAGGAAAGGGCCAATTTTATTAATTTCGTATCGGACCTTAACAAATGTGATATAAATATTGCGACGTTCCAGACTTAGGCTACATTGGCTACTTCCTTCACTTTATATGAGATATGTGATACTTTTAAGAAAATGTGCGTAAGAAGCCAGATATAATCGATGGAAGTATTTAATTTTTATACCCTTCAGCTTGGAAAGAAGGGTATATTAACTTTGTCATTCTGTTTGTAACATCCTTAAATATTCGTCTTAAACCCCATAAAGTATATATATTGATAATCAGCATAAAATTCTAAGTCGATTTAAAGATGTCCGTCTGTCTGTCTGTCTGCACGTCTGTCTGTTGAAATCACGATATAGCCCACATTATTTGACGTAGAGCGCCAAAATTCGGTATTTTGATGTTTTATGATATGTAGGTCATAACGGGTCCCTGAGCGTGTGGCAAAACATTGCATGCATAGGTCCACGTTGTGATATAGCCCCCATATAAAGGTACCTCCCGATATTCGGCATTTTAGTTTTTTTGCCACATTTTTTCACGGATTTGTCTAAAAATTGGTATTTGTGGGTCATAATGGTTTCCAGCTCCGGTGGCGAAACATTGCATGTATAGGTCCACGTTGTGGTATAGCCCCCATATAAACGTACCTCCCGATATTCGGTATTTTAGTTTTTTTTGGCACTTTTTTTACGGATTTTCTGAAAATTGGTATTTGTTGGTCATAATGGTTTCCAGCTCCGGTGGCGAAACATTGCATGTATGGGTCCATGATTTGGTATAGCCCCCATATAACGGTACCTCCCGATATTCAGTATTTTGATGGTTTTTGCCACATTTTTTGTGTTTTACCAGAAGGTTACCAGAGTGGGCCGATATATTTCATCTTCAGACCAGACTTTGGGATAATAAAAATATTGTGATTTGTAGATAATGGGCCACTTATTTCACATTTTTTAAGAGTTATGTTCAATATTTTAATTCTTTGTGGGAGAGGTACGTACCTGACCTAGCACTGATGCAAATATTACGATTTGCAATGTTGGAGAAAAATCGGATTATCCTTTCTCATTTTGTGCAGTAAACGTGTTTTTGAAAATTTCGACCTTTTGTGGGGAGGTACAAAAAGAGTGGACCGAAATTGTCCATCTCCGAACTCAATCTGACTTTGATATTATAATATTACGATGCAGCTATTTAAGACCAAATGGGATACTCCCTTCGAGAGTTATCGTGCGCACCAGCCAGTCAAACAGAGAGACAGATGGACGGACGGATTCCAAATGTCTAAAACCGTTATTTCGATGAGGCATGCCATATGGCTGAAGGTATAAAAATGTATTGTGGGACTTTTCCAAGGCCACACAGTTTTCCAATAAAAGACAAGTTGGTCTCATCATAAAGGAGCACCATATCTATATCACTGTTGGTTTCTAGGATATAGATATGGTGGTGGAGAATCGTTATTACCAAGATACATTGATATATATATATATATATATATATATATATATATATATATATATATATATATATATATATATATATATATATATATATATATTTGACCAGCAAAATTGGGAAATTTATCCACGAAATAGAAAAAAAATTGAATTTTGAATAATAAAATGAACTGGTGGAACGAATCTAAAATTTTAAGGTGAACTTCCCGCTAACGAAGTTTATGGCATAAATATATTTTTCCAATGAATATCGAAACCATTTGTTTTTCTCAGTGTTACTTCTTTGCTCATAGCTTGTCAAGAACACATTTCATTTTTGTCTTGCTTGAGAATGAAATGGAAAAAAAAAAACGTAATGAAATTAAAAGAAAATGCATTCCTTTATGTTTTCAGGTTTTTTTGTTCGTCTTCGTCTCTTCTTTTTGCTGAAACTAATTGGTATAGTTTCGTAATTTTTTTCCTTTCCTCTAACAAGACGATGCGTAAACGCACACACACACGAGTTGTCTGCGTTATGCTTTTATTTAAAATGTGATTACCCAGTATTTTTCCCTCAGTTGTTGTGATTTAAAATAATTTAATAAGTTTTGGTCAAAATTGCGTTACTTTTCTGTGTGTGTGTGTGTGTTTTTTTTTCCTTTTTTGAATTAATTAGAAATATGTGCTTCGGTTTTGCGTTAGTAATGAGATCAGAAGATTTTTATTAGCAGGCCTTCACAGTGGTTGACGTTCCGTGAAGACGAGACAGAAATTATCAATTAGTAATAACAATGCTTATGATTTGCGGTAATTATTGTTGCAAAAACTGGGGCAAATGATCGAACATGGTATACAATCCAACCATTAAACGTGAATTTTCCTAAGAATATTTTTTGAAGAACGAATCAAGCATCAAACGTTCATGCTATAGTAATGTTCTCTTCAGGAAGATCTATGGTGGCTGAACCACTAAGTATATAAGAGTATAATATTACTTTTGAAGAAAATTTTTTCAAGGGCCATCAATTCGTCAAACCTGGATTTGATAAAAAAAAATCTGATATGAAACAACTATCAAAATTGGATTTTTATACCCTCCTCCATAGTATGGAGGGTATATTAAGTTTGTCATTCCGTTTGTAACACCTCGAAATATACATTTTAGACCCCACAAAGTATATATATTCTTGATCAGCATAAAATTCTATGTCGATTTATCAATGTTCGTCCGTCTGTCCGTGTGTCCGTCTATGGAAATCACTCTAGCTTCCGAACAAAATGAAGTAAGTTGATAAAATTTCCTTCTCCCTATATTCGGTATTTTTATGATTTTAGCTATATTATAAAAAGTTTTTTTTTTCAAGTTTCGCATTTGAATATTGTAGTAGCTTGTGACAAAAGCTATTATGCAGGAACACGTCATCGTACAGACCCTAATATACGGCTATATTCGGTATTTTTAAGATTTTAACAGAATTTTTAACGGATTTTATTTTTTTGAAAATTTTTAAATTTGTACCAAACCATTAAACGCGGATTTTGTATAAATATTTGTTTAAGGTCGAACAACCCATCAAAAGGGACTTTTTGTTGAATAATAAGAGTTCAACCATTAAATAAACACCTGTCGTGGATATTGCAGGAATATTTTTCAAGGACGATGTAACCATTTTAAACAAATTTTAATCAATGACGAACCAGAAAGCGATTGAGATTTTTTTTGAAACATGGCTTTTAAATAAAATATTTCCAGAAAAATGCATCATTTTTCAGACACAAAATATATTCTTTCGGTTTTAGTTCCAAAAAATGCGAATTCCCATGTTTTTCTTATTGAATTCTAATAATTTGCAATCGTTTGGTATTTTTAACTTTCCTTTTTGCCTTTGCTACCAAAAGATACGCATTATGGAGAGCAAACATTTTCAATTCTTAGAACATGTTGTTAGAGTAGGTATCCATGCCCTACACAACATAGTGGTAAGGGTATTATGTCTTTGTGCATTTGTTTGTAACATGAAGAGGGAAACGAGATAGACCCATGGTTCCTTTTGGTGATCAGCATAGATCACATTTTGAGTATATTTAGGCATGTCCGCCCGTCTGTCCATGTATTTTTGTAAACAAAACAGGTCGCATTTCTTATTCGATTGAGGTGAAATTTTCTAAATAGGATTTGTTTGGCTCAAGGACGAACCCTATTGAAATTGGTGAAAATCGGTCCAAGTTTAGATATACCTCCCATATGTACCTTCATCCGATTTTAGGTTTCTTATGCACCAAATGGTGTGAATATTTCTACATCCGGCCGAATGTGCTTCAAATTTGGCGAAAATCGGTTCAGATATAGTTACCATATATATGTTTCATCCAAATGATAACACACCCTCCAGAATATTTTCTCGATAATATTCGGCATTTATTTTATTGTCACGGACGATTAATACGAGCGGCTGTTATGGTGGCCCACACCATCACCATGGCTTGAGCTCTGATGGCCAACAGAAGGTACACATTTTCAGCTGACCTCTTTGGCAAGTAAACACGATCATTTTGTTTGTTTACAAACTGTTGGACAAGGAATGTTTTCTCATCGGAGAAAACCAAATTCGGCAGTTTACCACTTTCGGCCAAACGAAGCAACTCTTTAGCTCTTTTGTGTCTATTTTCTGTCTGTTGCGATGTAAGTTCTTGCACTTTTTGGAATTTCAATGGCTTTACCCCGAATAACTTTTTTTCTGGAAAATTCTCACCAAAATGCTTATATGTCTTTCGGTACCTCGATTAATACGAGCAGAGGCATCAGAATAAATGCCGAATATTATCGCGAAAATATTCTGGAGGGTGTATTAAAGCATTGGGCACGCAAGGACTCAGCACCATCGCACTCAGCATGCGCCACCCAAGAATAGTTACAAAATGAGATTCCTCGCTTCATTTCCAGCCCACAATGGCCACCAAAATCTACGGATACCAATCCGTTGGACTGTTGTGTCTGGAGTATTTTGGAAAGCAAGATTGACACTAAAAAATACCAAATCACCAAAAAATACCACCTCAAGCAAGCGCTTTGCCGGGAATGGGCCAAAATCCCGCAGAGCAACATTCGGGCAGCGTGTGACGTGTGGTTTCATTGGCCGTTTGAAGGCCATAATTCGTGCTAAAGGTGACCAATTCGAATAAATCTTAACTTATTCTTAAATTTAATAATATTTCTGACATTTTTATACCCTCCACCATACTATGGAGGGTATATTAACTTTGTCATTCCGTTTGTAACTCCTCGAAATACTCATGTCAGACCCAACAAAGTATGTATATTCTTGATCAGCGAGTCGATTAAGCGATGTCCGTCTGTCTGTCTGTGGTAATCACGCTATCTTTCGAATGAATTGAGATAGATGGCTAAAATTTTGCACACATGTTTATTTTTCCAGTAGGCAGGTTAAGTTCGTAAATGGGTCCACGTTTTCATATAGCCCCTATATAACGGTACCTCCCTATATTCGGAATTTTGATGATTTTAGCGACATTATTCACCGGAATTGTTTCAAAATTGGTATTTGAAGTTCGTTATGGGAACTACAGTCTGTGACAGAAAATTGTCTGTGCGGGTCTTCGTATAGGCCTCATATCAGTACCTCCCTATATTCGGCATTTTAACGAGTTTAGGAACAATACCCACCGAAATTGTTTGAGATGTGGTATTTGAAGTTCATAATGGATGCTACAGCCTGTGACAGAAAATTTATTTAGTCACATTTAGTTTATTTCAAGTTTCCAATTTGAAAATGGCAATGGCTTATGACAAACAATGCCAATATATGTCCACGTCGTATAGACCCCAAAATAACGGCTATATTCGGTATTTTTAAAATTTTAAAAGAATTTTTTAAGGATTTTATTTTTTCAAAATTTCTAAATTCATTGCAAATGGTGGAGGGTATTAAAAGTTCGGCCCGGCCGAACTTACTGCTTTTTAACTTGTTCGCTTTCATTTAATAAAATTTAAAAATTATGGCGTTTGATTTTGTTACAGTTTTTTTTTATCTCGCCCTGTAGAGAACTTTACCCAAATTTGGACTCATCTTCGGGACAAGCAAATGAACTGTGCAACATTATAATCGGTCAATGATTTTTACTTTGTTTACAAAAATGCGTGAATCGACTCAGAATATGATTCTATGGATATCATCAAAAGAAACTATGGCTCTATTTCGATTCCAGCTACATGCTACAAACAATTGCAAATAAACATGATACCTTGTTCCACAGTGTGGTGTGGGTCATAAAAATCAGAGCTCTGGCATTATTAGTAATTTTTTGTAGTATTCGTCCCTTTTTTAATACCTCCGACCCAGGGTCGAGCCTTACCTTATATCTCAAGCTTCTAACTTCAGCCGTTTCGTGTATTGTGATTTGTGATGTGAAACCATAAGTTAAGTTCCAAATGAAATATATCCCAATCTTATTTCTTTAAGACATATCCCCTCCCCACTCCAAAAAAAAAAAAATCTTCCCCAACTCACCTGACACTGTTGTGGACCGTGACGACTGGGCGCCGATATCTTTGAGCGATTTTTCTTTAAAATTTTCGCTGAATTTGCAGCGTTACTATTTGCAGCTGACGCCGCTGCTGCAGCTCCTCCCGCTGCCGCTGCTGCTGCGGATTGTGATAACGGCGATGATGACAGTGGGCCACAAGGAACTTTTCTTGCACCGTGACTTAACGAAGTTATGCTGCGGGCAATCGAGTTACCGCTGCTGCTATTGCTGCTGTAGCTGAAGCAGCTGTCGTTGCTGCTGGAGCTGAAATTGCTGTTGCTGCAGCTATTCGTGTTGTTGCTGGCTGGGTTGTTAAGTTGTTGTAACAAAGTACCGTTCGAATGATTTTGGGAATTCAAAGAGTTGTGGTTGTTGTTGCTGTTTGAGTTATTGTTGTTGCTATTGCTGCCATTTGATGATGACGTACTACTATTGCTCATTATCTGAGCCAGGGATGTAATGTTGGTTGTGTTGCTGCAACTGCTGCTGCGTATCAGGCAATTCTTGATGTAGCTGTTGGTCTTATTGACACTGGTGGTTGTTGTATTCGTCGACGTGGAGACCGTCTGCACCGAGGAGGCTATGACACGGTGGCTACTACTGCTGCCAATGTTGGTTACATTGTTGCCGGTGTTGTTGTTGTTGTTGCTGCTATTGGGGGAGGTACGCTTGCTAATGGTAATGCGGTTCTTCAGAGAACCATTTAAACTTGTGTGGATTATTGTATCACTGTTGCTGTTTTGGTTGCTACTGGAACTGGTGGAGCCATTCAATTTTGAGGAATTCACTTTTGTACTTTCACTGGCACTGACACTGGTATTTTTCAATGCTGTAATGAGGGGGGAAATTTTTGGGAAAATTAATATTTTTCTTAGGAAATTTTCAATGTGGTATTTCTATCCATAACTTACACGCTGTTTGTAATGTTCCCAAGACATCAGCCAACATTTCTGGATCTGGATAACCAATGGTTAATGCATTATCCAGTGTCGTGGCTGTTTGGGCATTTGTCGTCTGTGACTGGGCAGGTGTTGTGGTCTGATGTTGCTGTAGCTGATGTGTCGAATGCTGGTGTGGGTGTTGATGTTGTTGTTGGGGTGCTGTTGACGTTGTGTGACCAATGTAATGGGAGGCTGCTGATGAGGCGGACGACTGATTGGAATCATTGGAATTGACATCTCTCAGATGAAGTGTCACAGAGGCTTCGGTGCCCACAGAAGCACTACACATCAGCACCCGGGGCGCCGATGATAAACTTGTGGTCAATGGCAGGTGAATACTTTTGGTAACCTAAAAAAACAAGCACAAGAAAAAAGAACCAAACATTAAAGAGTTGTTTTAGTTGTTGTTGTTTTAAAAATTAGTCATGTTTTTATAAAATATATTCTCTATGAAATATATAAATCTAGAAACCTTTAATTTGTATTTGTCTTTGTTACAGAATGTTTTTCTTTTACTGCGGCTGCTGCTGCTGCTGGCGGGGGTGCACTTCAACGTAATTTTTTTGCTTCCTACAAATCTTGTCATTTCGTTTTGGGTTGCGCCAACATTTCCTAATTAATTAGGTTATTTGTTACACTTATGCGGGCTGTTGAAAATTCACAAATTTTTGATTTCTTAATATTTTGTACTAATCTTGAGGCATTGGGTTTAGAATGTGGCATGCTAGTAATAATCGTCTTGAGGAAAGCGGAAGAGTTTTTTTTTTTGCTGTGAAATTATTACATCTTGTTTGAATTCTTTTCAAATTATCTATATAACATTTGACAATGAGCAATCTTGGTCTATATAATGAAAATGTTAAATATGTCTTCAAAATGACAAATAATTTAAAACCAATAAAAATACTTAATTTAAATAGGGCGAAACTTTTATAGTCCAGGGTGAGATAAAACAAGTAAAAATGTATCGGTCGGTTTTGCCGAAGCAAATGTTCGATTTTTTAAAAATATTTTCACTTCTGTTTCACATTTATATCCAATTTATGGGAAATCTTAAATTCCATATTCATCTCAGGATTCTGGTTGAGAGACAAATGTTTAGATATAGCAAGTTGTAAAGAATCGCTGAGTTGTTGCAATTTATGACAGATAAAACTACTGAAAATTGTGTTCCTTTGTGGGTGAGGTACCAGAAGGGGTTCGCAGATATATAGCATCTTTACAACAGCAGGTGTCAAAAGAAATGGTCCGATTTCTACCATCTTTATAACAGATCTAGTGTTGATGGAAATTTTTTAGATGTCCGGAATGGAATCGGATGTTGATTTCGCTTATTATGAGATTCATGGACTCATATTCAAAATTCTGAGCGTTTGTGAGGGAGGTACAAGAAGGAGCGGACCGATATTGTCAATTTTCGCACTTGACCTAGAACTGACGTAAATATCAAGATTTGCAAAGTTGGAACAAAATCGGATTATCGATTCTCTTTCTGTGCAGAAAAAATATATATTTTTTTGAAAATCTCGATCATTTGTGTGGAAGGTACCAGAAAGAGTAGATTGATATATTCCATCTTAACACCAGACCTTGGGTTAATATAAATATTGGGATGTGTGAAATTTGAAGACAATCGGAATCTTATATCACATTTTATGAGAGTTGTAATTATTTAAAATTTTGACCTTTTGTGAAGGAGGTACCAGAAGGAGAGGACCGATATTTTCCATTTTCACACTGACCTAGTACTGACGTAAATATCAGGATTTGCAAAGTTTGAGCAAATGGGATTATCGTTTCTCTTTCTGTGCAAAAAATATATATATTTTAAAATTTTGACCATTTGTGGGGGAGGTCCCACAAGGAATGGACCGATATATTCCATCTTAATATCAGACCTTGGGTTACCATAAATACTGGCATGTGTGAAATTTGAAAACAATCGGACTCTTATTTCACATTGTATAAGGGTTATTTGTATTATTCAAAATTTTGACCATCTGTTGGCGGGGAGGGGTTGGGGGGGATACTTGATGATGTGGACCAATATTGTCCATTTTCGCACCTGACCTAGCACTGATGCAAATATTAGGATATGCAAACTCGGATCATCCTTTCTCTTTTTGTGCAGAAAATAATGTTCTTTGAAAATGTTGACATTTTGTGGGGGAGGTACCAGAAGGAGAGGATCGATATGGCCCATTTCCGAACTAGATCTAGGTTTGACAATAATATTACGATGTACATAGTTTCTATCATATCGAATACTCCCTTCGAGAGTTATCGTACACACCAGCCAGCCACACGGAGGGACGGACATAGCTAGATCGACTCCAAATGTCCTGAAACTGATTTGGTCCAAAAAGACATAGGGTCTAAAACCGAATATTGGGAGATGCCGTTATATGGAGGCAATACCAAAACGTGGACCTGCACGAACAATTTTCTGTCAAAGACTGTACAACTTCAAATACCAAATTTGGAACAATTCCGGTGAATGATGTCGCTAAAATCATGAAAATACCGAATATCGGAGGTGCCGTTATATGGACCTACATGACCCATTTTTAATACCAAAAGTCCTGCAGACTAATATAAATTTTAGTAAAATTTTATCAACCTACTTCATTTCGTTCGGAAGCTAGAGTGATTTCCATAGACGGATAGAGGGATGGACATCGCTAAATCGACATAGAATTTATGCTGATAAAGAATATAAATACTTTGTGAGGTTTAAAATATATATATATCTAGGAATGACAAACTTAATATACCCTTCATACTATGGTGGAGGGTATAAAATAAAGTTAAATAACTGATTGACTGCCTAAAAATCAACGCCCAGTCTAAGGGCGTATTGTAAGTCTTGGTTTTTGGAAACTCTCACTAAGAGGGTAGTTCTATAAATACTGAAATACTGACCAGCAAGGAAAAGTCAAAAGTCGGGCCGGGCCGACTATATGATACCGTACACCACTATGCATATTTTGTATAGCTTCCATAACAAAAGAATTCATTTGAAGTAGATCATACCATCCATTTGGCTTTAGAACAGTTAAATTTTTCGGAGTTCCAGAGGGAACTAATATATGGGAGACATATGCAATTCTGAATCGATTTTCACTAAATCTTGTATACCAAATAACATTGCATGATATCACTTCGATAAGGATTATATTAGAGACAAGTAAAACAGCTGTAAATTCGGCCGGGCCGAACTTTGAACACCCTGCACCATTTGGAACGAATTTTGCAATTTTCAAAAAAATTAAATCTGTTAAAAATTCTATTAAAATCTTAAAAATACCGAATGTAGCTATTATATTAGGGTCTATACGACGACGTGGACCTGCATAGGCAACGTTGGTCATAAGCCATTACGATATTAAAATTACGAGGGCTATACGAAGACGTGGACCTGCACAGACAATTTTCTGTCTTAGGCTGTAGTATCCATTACGAACTTTAAATACGAAATTTTTTACAATTCCTGTGAATAATGTCGCACAAATCATAAAAATACCGAGTATTGGGAGGTACCGTCATGTGAGAGCTATACGAAGACGTGGACCTGCACAGACAATTTTCTGTCATAGGCTGTAGTATCCATTACGAACTTCAAATAGTAAATTTAAAATAGTTCCGGTGAATAATGTCTCTAAAATCGTCAAAAATCCCCATTATCGGGAGGTTCCGTTATATGGGGGCTATGCGAAGACGTAGACCTACATGGCTCATTTTCTGTCTTAGGATGTATTATCCATTACGAACTTCATATGTCAAAATTGAAACAATTCCGGTGAATAATGTCGCTAAAATCATACAAATACAGAATATCGGGGGTACCATTATATGGGGGCTATACGAAGGCGTGGACCTGCACTGACAATTTTCTGTCGTAGGCTATAGTATCCATTACGAACTTCGAATACCAAATTTTAAACAATTCCGGTGAATAATGTTGCTAAAATCATCAAAATACCGAATACCGGGAGGGGCCGTTATATGGGGGCTATACGAAGGCGTGGACCTGCACGGACAATTTTCTCTCGTAGGCTATAGTATCCATTATGCACTTTAAATACCAAATTTGAAAAGATTCCGGTACATAATGTCGATAAAATCATGGAAATACCGAATATCGGGAGGTATCGTTATATGGGGATTATACGAAGACGTGGACCTGCATAGACAATTTTCTGTCGTAGGCTGTAGTATCCACTACGAACTTCGAATACCAAATTTGAAACAATTCCGGAGAATAATGTCGGTAAAATCAACAAAATACAGAATATCGGGAAGTGCCATTATATGGGAGCTATACGAAGGCGTGGACCTGCACTGACAATTTTCTGTCATAGGCTGTAGTATCCACTACGAATTTCAAATACCAAATTTGAAACAAGACGTTGACCTGCAAAGACAATTTTCTGTCATAGGTTGAAATTTGAAACATTTCCGGTGAATAATGTCGCCTAAATCACCAAAATAGAGAAAATAGGGAGGTACCATTATATCAGGGCTATACCAAAACCTGGACCTACATGACCCATTTTCATCACCAAAAGTCCTGCAGACATAATACACATTTGAGCCTGCTTCAACCTACTTTATTTGGTTCGGAAGCTAGAGTGACTTCCACAGAAAGGCAGACAGACGAACATCGCTAAATCGACATAGAATTTTATGCTGATCAAGAATATATATACTTTGTGGGGTCTAAAATGTATGTTTCGAGGTGTTACAAACGAAATGACAAAAGTATAAAAAGTCTTTCAAAAAAAAATAATAATTGAAATATATCTGCAATGCATGAACCATCATCCACACACCTGTGGTCGACAAATGTGAATGGCTTTCATTCTAAAAATAAATATAACTCAACATTTTTTGAAAGAATTTCTCTGTTTCTGGAAAAACACTAAAATGTCAATGGGCAATGACGAAGTGGCAACGTCCACTGACGACTGATGGTGCACCTGTGGTGATTGATAGTTTGAAGGATGGCTGGTGGATTGATGGAAATATTTTATTTAAAAAGGCTTTTAAAAAATTAAAAATAAAATACAGAACCAAAAACTTAAAAGTCTCATATATGGAAAAGATAATTTAATGAATTGAAACCCACAGTTGCTGTTTTTTATAAAAAATGTGTTGTTTTGTATTTATAAAAATATTCAAATATATGTGTCAAAATATAAAGTACATGCGGTTTGCAAATAAATACATATGTATGTATGATTGTACATAGGAAAGAATGCATCATGCAAGCGAACAAACCGTCAGACGGAGGGCCATACGACTACAGACTATGAAACAACAGACAAATGCCGTTTGTATTCGTATTTA